AAAAATCGTGAATCGAATCGTGAAATCAAAATTGTGAATCGAATCATGAGTTGAGTGAATTGTTACATCCCTACAATTCACCATATAATCATTTATGACATCAATCACTTAGCCAAAAGATAAATGTAATAGTTTTTCTAAAAACGTATGATACCTTCAAGTATTAAAATACTTTATATTTACAAGGAATTCTATAAAATTGTATTATAAATAGTGTAAATTAATTTATCATACACTTTCAGCAATTCCCTTTCATTTATACATTGTATATATTTTCAAATTAATATTTAAGGGATATTTAATATCAGTGTCATGTTTACTTCTGTATGTGTGTGTTTGATTACATTATCTGTACATAATTTATGTGATAGCCAATATAAAGTTTGGGCCCTAAATCAACCCCAGTTTGACCACTGCATAAGACACTTAACATGACAGTAATGAGTCACAGCTCACGTTCGGTCATTGCCACTGTGTCTCTCAAACTCTCTCTTTCCCCTCTGGTCAAATCCATCACTAGATCTTGGATATCCTGGGCCTCGGGCTCCTCGCCCTCTTCCTGTACCTCTTCCTCTGACAGGCCTGTCCAGCACATCCACAGGCCTACACACAGATGAAGACAGATCGAGCGGCATGCAAAATAAATTCAGGAAGATTAATAAAAAATAAAGACATTTATTAACACGTAATTCGAGTCACTTACCTCTCAACAGAGAAACTGAGGGGGGTGTCGGCGTCGCTGAATTTGCGCTCAAAAGTCACGCGTCTCTCTATTCGCTCCTCAACTTCTCCACGAGCAAGACGGACTTGGCCTAGAAATTTGGACCGAATACACAACAAACTAAACGTAAACACTTTAAACGCTTAAAACATCAGCAACCAGGGTACCTTACATTTAAACTCATAATATCTTCCAGGGGTTAATTAAATTAGTCGATAATTTATTAAAAGAAATGCTTGCGTCGAATAAAATTAGCCCGTCCTTCACATACCTTGTCCACCTCCATCTACTGGAAGAACGATTTTCCTGTCCCTTTGAGACTCTTTCTTTCCAGTCGTGGTTGAAGTTTTCTTTGGATCCTCTTTCTTCTTCTTCTGTTTCTTTTCCACCCCTGCCGCGTATACGATGTCGAAAGGGTCGGATTCATCGTCCAGCAGTCGGCCGAAACGATTAGCAACGGCGCAT